GCTATTGCGCCTGCCGTCTCAACCTCTGACTCGCACATGAAGGCCAAGGCTGTGATGGCCGCGCTCGCCGCCGACACGCCGCCATGGCGAAACGCGCCCCCAGAGTCACGCGCCACCTCAAGTGCAGTAACCGAGTCGCCTTCGCCGCAGAGCTCCTCTTCCGCACCGCTCGCCGCCCCACAATCCCGTCTGTATCCGCATATCGGCACCTCATCCTCTTTCACCGTCAGACACCCCACAAGCGCCTCCCCTACCCCTGCCTTCTCCACGTGCTTTGTCGCCGCTTCCTCTTCCCGCCTATATGGCACCTGCTCCTCAGGCTGAACTCCTAGAGCCGCCATGTCCCGTGACCCAGGAATGTCCCCGCAACCCTGCCCAGACGACATGCCCCTTCCTATATCGCCCCCCTCCTCCTCGTCCTTCTCCTCCCCATCACCTTCCTCAAGCCGCATCCGCCGAACACGCCACCCGAACCCGACCTCGCTGAGCTCTACCATTCCCGACCCCGCAGCGCGATACCGCTCCGCTGACGCCCACTGTGCCCGCTGCCGGCGCGCCATCGCCTCCAACAAGTCATCCGCCCATAGCTGCTCCCATAATCGCACCGACAGCTCAGCCGACAGCTCTCGCCGCATCTGAACAGCCACCATGCGATGCGCAAAGTGGCAGTGGTCGGCATGGAGCGCGGCCAGGTGAGCGCCCACAGTCGGGTCGAGTGCAGCCAGGAGGTTGCCTAGGGTCGCGAGGCGCTCAAAGAGGCCGTCAGGGCGCGGCAAGAAGTTGGCGCGGACCTGAAATCAGAAGATAGAGGGAAAGCGTCATCACGGGAGGGCGGGAACGCAACTCGTGAAGGAACAAGGCCCATTTGCACCGAATCGTTATGGTAGGCGTGGAGTTGATGATTTATCTAGTTAACTGACCACATGCACAAGATAGGCGCCATACACGGCAATCTCATGCAACGGGACTTGTCTACATCAAAACGTACCTTGTCCATCAACCCGACGAAGCACCAAAAGGCGATAGCGTCATCCTCCAGTAGCAGTACGAACGGCAGAGCAAGGTCCGACATGCTGCAACAGCAACGATGTTGTCCAAGTATCGGAACGGTCAGAAGCGCGACGAGGGCAGGGCGCGGGATCGTTTGTGCATGGTCATAACGAGAATATGGCCATTCTGCCGCCTCATGCTGCTGCATTGGTAGCGATGGTAATAATGACTATGTCGGAGCTTTGAGACTGACACAGTGGTGCTGGAATTATACAACTAGGCCATATACAGTCTCACAGATGTCAGGACACAGCGACATGGCAACGTAGATACATCGAGATATCAACAACTTCCACCCGCACCCGACCCGGGGCGATACACCCTTAGCTCACGAGGCTCGGTTGTGTTTCAACACACACGCACACGCACACACACGCGCCCTCTCTGTGTTACGCACACGCGCACGCGCAACACACGCACCCCTGGCAATAGCCCAGCTCCGGATCGTGTGCCGTGTACGCCGATAGCAGTGTGACCAAACGCTCCACCAGTCGCATCTGACCCGGGCTGAAGTGCGCCGCGTGGCCTAGGTGGAAGCGAGCCAGCGCACTCACGCAAGAGGGGGAGGAGCTGCCGCTTAAGGCAGCTATTGCGCTCGATGCCGTTTCCGTGTCAGCTGCTGCAGGCGCGACGCGGTCGTGCATCAAGGGACTCCTTGACGCGGCGCCGCCCTCCGAGGCGTGGCGAGGGCTGCTGGTGATGCTGGCGTTGCTAGAGGTGGCACTAGGTTTATCGGATGTGCAGTCCTGCCCTGCTGCGCCCTGTTGCATACCAGGAGAGGAGGGGCACGACACCGCAGGGCACTGCGGTGGCGACGACGACGACGACGTGGAGGAGGAGGCCATCGGGCGCACACGTAACGTGAAGGGAAAGGTGACCGCCCAGCGCGTGCCACTGGTCGGGCCGCCTTCAGGTGAAGCCGCAACGCTGACTCCCGGATCAACGCCGGGTCCTGTATCGCAGCCGTCGAAAACCCGCGCTGCTGGACTGGCTGGAGGTGGGATTGCAGGCGGCAGTTCGTCCATGAGCTTCGCATTCCCGCAATCGCCGTCGTCTACAGTACCGGTGCTGGTTTCCGCAGCTGCCGCCGCAAAGACCGAGACAGCCGCCGGTGGACTGCGACAGGAAGACATGACCTGCTCCCGTCCTTTGCCGAAGGACAGCGGCAGGATACGGAATAAAGAGGTGCAGGCAGAGTTCCTATTGCCCTCTACAGCAACAGGAACAGAATCCCCGGCAGCGGCTGTCTCGGTGCTTCCCTTCGGGTCCTCTGCAAACGGGTCCCCGACCACCTTGTGCTCCAAGCACTCCGTACACGCACCACGGCGTTCTCCAGCCTGCAACTGCTGCTCTTGAGGCGCAGGCACGCCGTCTCTGGCTTTCCCAGCCACAGCTGTTGCTGGCTCTGCGGATGCACTCTCTTGCTCTGGCAGGGCCGCCTCTGTTGCGCCTCCGCTGCCAGGTGCCTGGTGCGCTCGGCCTGCCGGAGAAAGCTCCGATAGTTCCTGTGCCTGAAGCAGTGGTGGCTCGCGCTCCTGCTGCCCCTGCTGCTGAACGAGCTGCTGCAGACGTACAGCACGGGAAGCATGGTACTCCTCCACTTTGCCCATGATCCAGCTCTTGAGGCGACCACTGCTACTGATGCCTGTGACAGCGGCGACAGCACTGGGGTCGGGGGTGCCGCTGCTGCCACCGCCGCCGCCGCCGCTTAGCCTCGGTGCTGACGCCGCTGGCGTCAGACAGGACGCCGCTGGGGGGGATGTGCCGCCGCCGCAGTTTCCAACGCCGCCGAGGCCTGAGAGTCCGAGGCCGCGCAAGCTTAATGTGATTCCGCTAACAAGTTTGCCACCAGCGCTGCTGTCACCGGAGATGCTGCTACCAGCAGCAGCCAGATGCGTCGCCCCCGGCAGTTGCGACTTCTTAAAATCTACCCGTACGGCATCCAGTGCGATGGATTGTTGGGCCTCCCAGTATGGCCGTAACTCCGGCGGCACATCAGCATGGCTAACATGTCCCAGAAACGACGCCTCAGCGAATGCTCCACCTCTGACGTCACCGCCACCGGACCCCAAGCCAGGACCGTCGTCTTCCTCCGCCGCCTCCACCTTAAACCAGCTAGGTTCATCCATGCCGGACACCTGCTGGATTTGGATGGAGGTAGGTACGGAAGGCAGACCGCAGCCGCGGCTTACGTTGCTGGCCGCGGCCAACCCGCCTGAAGCTCCATCGCCCAGCGACCGGCTGCTGTTACCCGGTAATTTAGCATAGAGCGGGCTTGCGCTTGCGCTGGGGGTGGAGCTCGGGGAAAGATGAGGCAGAGCTGAGCAGCTGCTTGAAACCCGGCCGCTACGGCGACTCGTGGTGGCCTCAAGGCAAGCCGTTTCCAGCTCCTGGCGCCGATGGTGGGTGGGGGGAAGGGAGCAATGTATGACGACCATGAACGCAGGCGATGGCAGGTGGTGTGTGATGGCATCCGTGGTTAACGGTACACGTGGATGCAGGAAGGCAGCAGCAGCAGCACGCATAGAACGTCGCTCGCACCTGACAACGGCGTAGCAACGCCTCGAAGGACGCACGGAGCTCGTTGTACAATGCAGAGCGCTGCTCATACGTCTGCTCTGCGTCATACACGCCTAGCAGCAGCGGCCATACCTCCGGACGCGCACCTGGCTCGAGGCCCTGAAGGCAAGGGACATGCGACAGGATCGTGGACTAGGTTACGGGCCATTCGAGGAAAGATGCTCACTGGGAAATGGCTCTGACATGTTACACAAGCTGGCACGCGGTCATCCTTACTATTGCATGTCATACGACAAAACCAATAATGCCCAAGATACCGCGTGCACTTCCATGTCCATCTCGCAACCAGCAAGCATTTCGGCCCTAGTCGTGTGGTCCCGAGGGACAGGCCGCACGGCCCCTACCAGGGCACTTGAAGAACCAACAAGCGCTATACGTTACACCACGCGCCCATGTTGGCCACTCTTGATGTCCATTGACATCGGAATGCATCTTATCCTCAACCACAACCCTGGCAAAACCCGGTTGACGTGTGAAGCCGCTGACAGACAGGCAAGTAACCGTTCCTTGGCGCCCCACCCTGAACTTGAGCAATGCAGGGACTGATTGTGATACAGTGTGCATACGCCTAGGGCAGTGCCGCTACCAATGCGACGGCACTGTATCACACCTTGTCAGCAATGTGCAGCAACAGGGCCTCAAAGTCCGGAACAGTACCATCATCAGCAGCGGCTGCTTTATAATTTGGTAGGGTAAGAGGCGACCTGCAGTTTCGAGGATAGCAGCGACGGTGAAGGATTATGTATCCCGAGGTTAACGGGCTGGACTCTAAAGGAATGCCATACCGTCAACCCACACCTGAGCTTAGCCGCTTTGTGTACAGCAAATGCGAATGCAGCTGCTGCTGCTACTGCTCCAAAGCCGACAGTGGCACCCGTGCCACCAGTGCTTGGTGCCCCCGCAACCCCCGGTCGCCCGGTTCTACTAGGAAATGCCAATGGCATTGCGTGAGCCAGTTATTTTTTTCCAAGCTAACTGTACTGCCCAAGGATGGAAATGCCCAAGAATTGTTATCGCTAGAAAGAATACACAGACAGGGGAATGGAGCAGCAGGCATCCATCTTAGGGTTATGTTTTCTGGTAAACGTATAGGAATCTGCATAAGAAGCTGTTAGATTGTAAGCCTTGCTGATTAACGCAACGCAAGAGCCTGTCGCAGCACGACAGCGACACCTTAGCTCAGTAACATAAGTTCAATAACGTTTACAACAGCTATTGCCAATGCGGATAAACGCATAAACCATGTCAGTCTGGAATTTCCGTTGTGCCAAGCTTCTTTCACCTTGCAGTACAATCGTAGGGCCTCTTTGCATAGCTTTCGCTGCTTCCTACTTGGCCAAGATACGCGTGCGCTTTCTCTCTCTTTGCCCCCTGCGGCCATAGTTGCAACAACAATGCCGAAGGTCTGTACTTTAGTCGCTTCTTACCCGCCCTTTTAGGCTGCGGCGCCGGCGGCATTTTTCCTTGTACCATTCTGACTTTCGCTGTTTAAAACGATTCTTGCAGACGGTGGTCATCGACGGGCGTGCCCATATGCTGGGCCGCCTGGCCTCTGTGGTGGCTAAGCAGATTCTGAGTGGGCAGCAAATTGTAAGCAGAGGGGTGCTCATACCTGTTTCATCCATAGTTTTTCCGTTTTGTATATGTACTTTGCCATCACTTAAAGACGACGTTCATTTTCAGTCTATCCGGACTGGTCGCAGCCGCCGGCGTAACCATACCGCAGCAACGCAGGCAGCTTTCTGCAGTTTCATGGTGTGCTCATTGATGTTATACTTCTCATGGTAGTCATGATTCTTCGGGCTGCAGGTCGTGGTCCGTGCCGAGGACATTACCATCTCGGGCGGCCTTGTGCGGCAGAAGATGAAGTATGACCGGTTCCTGCGCAAGCGGATGAACACCAATCCCACTCGTGGCCCATTCCACTTCCGTGCGCCGTCCCGCATCTTCTGGAGGACAGTGCGCGGGTGAGTTTTTCTATAGTTGGGTAGAGGCATGTCATTGTGCTTTCTGCTGGCCAGCAAGTCTCGTCAGGTATTAATATGCAAGATCCGTTACATCCATGATCAGCGCAAGCGCTGCCTGCGGATTCGGCTTGGATCCTGTGGGACCTCGGGGTGACGCGTGGGCGCAGCTGGATTGCCTGCCTTGCACAGCGGCGCACGCCCTACGAGCTCATGGCAGATTTAGCTCAGGGGTGGCTTATAGGCTGCTAATCAGGGTCGAGCTGCGACGGCCTTTCCTGCACATTGGAGCTGTCATCAACAAATCAGACATGATTGGCATATATCATGGATCTTCTCGCCGTGTATACTTGTGGCCGTGCGTGTCTGCTTATTTGGGTTCTACATCAACGGGGGAGCTGCACGTGCGCCGCCTGACTCGTCTTTCAGCCAGGCGCAGCAATAAGCAGCTTTTCCCATTCAGTCCTCAAGACGCAGTCTTCCGGCCCAGAGCAGTCCTCCAATGACACAGCTGTCGGCACCGGGGGGAATGATTGGCTGGCCAGTTAAAGCTAACTCCTTAATGCACCAGCATATGTTATCGCTTAGAATGTGTGTGCGTGTTACACCTCGAGATGCGCTACCCTGCGAGCCAGGGGCCCAAGTTCAACCGAAGCTTAGGATGTCTTGGGAAATGTCCCAGGTGAAGTTCCGCTTTAACTGCGCATCTTGGATGGTAGTCTCAATAAATGTCCGAGCTGTCTCATAACACGGGTCAATTATGGCATCGGCATGGGAGCTTGAAGGGAGCAGTCTTAATGGTTCATGGCTTCCCCATGGCGCGGGATTGCATGTGCCTTTCCTAGTGTCTCGGCTCGGGTGCAGTGCGGGTCAGCAACCCAGCTGCTTCTACAGGTTGCACATTACCGACTCCAAGCGACTTAACTTACGGGTGTTCAGGAAATGGGTAAGGGTGTCTAGAAGCGGCGTTTTAATCAAATGGCTCAGGTCAGGATATTGTGGTTAGTGCTGTGTATTGGTAAAGCTTTGTACAATAGCTTCCGTTTGCCACTTGGGAATTGAATTTTGTTCTGCTGGCATATCCATTGATTTGGCACCCACGACAGCATGATTCCACACAAGACGGCGCGCGGTGCTGCCGCCCTGGAGCGCCTCAAGGCGTTTGAGGGCGTCCCGCACCCGTACGACAAGGTAAAGCGCATGGTGGTGCCAGACGCGCTTAAGGTGTTGCGGCTGCAACACGGCCACCGGTGCTGCAAGCTCGGCGATCTGTCAGCTGCGGTGAGTGACTGGAACTGTCATGGTGTAACTGTGCGGCGGGCTTTCCCACGAGGTTGTGTGTTGCTGATGGGGAGAGAGGAACATCTGCATGACGCTGTGTGCCAGCTGTGTACCCGGGTTAGGCTGTATTGCGGTCCAAGGGATTGGGTATTTGGGGCGCCATAGACGAAGAAGGCATGGATAAGGGGCCTGCGTAGCTAGCTAGGCGGCGTTTGAGTTTATCTGGTTCAGCTCCATGGGATTTCGTATTACAGTTTAGCAACTGCACCTTGTCATGCGCCCTACAATACGGGCATTTGAACTGATTGGTGCCCGAACTGCTTTTGGTTGCAATGATTTTGTGTTGAATTCTGAAACTTTTGGTAACCTGCTATGTGGCCTTGGTTTTATGCTTCTTCCCATGGTAGGTTGGCTGGAAGCACCAGGCTGCGGTGGCCGAGCTGGAGGAGAAGCGCAAGGCCAAGGCCAAGGCTTTCTACGTGGCCAAAAAGAAGCTGATTGCGCTGCGGGTGAAGGCCGCTGCTCAGGTTAAGGCGTAAAAACCGCGGCGGGAGTCAGCGAGGAGAGAGCCTTACAATGTCTGTAAACCCCACATCGTGTGCACTTTTGCCCCTCTTGGTCCCAAAACGCAGCCAATCATTACAGCATTATATGCCATTACAGCCTTTCCAGCTTTTGACTTCGCGTCCACGGAGGAAATCCAGAGTTAAAGGCAAATAAGCACGAGTAAAACAAGATTTTTTAGATGATGCAACATCTGTAATGTAATGTTACTGAGTGGGAGGCTTTATCACATTGTCAGTTCTACGATTTATCACCTTAGGGTACGATTTATCACCTTATAGCATCATCCACCACTACCACACTGTCTTAGCCATACGAACTGTAAGTCCAAGGCGGCGGATCCAGCCTTCAGGGACCCCTCCTCATCCATTCATCTGAAGCGGAGCCGACATCAAGGCATAATGCGCAGCATGTGTATTATTTAACAACAGTGCCCCAGAGCATAGAGAGGGGCTCAGGATTTACTGCTGGTTCTCTTTCGCCTGTCAGCACTGATACGAATCACGCATCACAAAGGTAAGGGTGGGCTTCTACCGATTTCCCCTTTTACAGAGACAAGCTACAGTCTATGTACTGCGTATAAACATGTAAGGTACAAACATCTATGCCAATGCCGTAAAATGCCAGTCCACCACACCCCCACCTACATGTCAATAGCCTAAGAAAGATATATCTAAATTATTGCTACCTGCCTAAATGCGCCCTGGGTCGCCTCGCTCTACAGGACCTAACGGGTCACTCAATAGCCTTAACTCTTAAAAGATGCCTAATTATGACCATCCAACCCTTTTTGCCTACCTCGTTCCTTGGCCCCGCTTCCCTCCCCCAACCTCCAACCGTGCTCTGTAACCAACGAAACCTTACCGACCACCAGCATAACAAGCCTCTCACTCCGGCCCCCAACTCCCCCCTTCCCCGACCAAACCCAAACCATGACCCTTCCCCCCAACCTCTACCAAAACAAGGCATCATTACTATCAGTGCTGCCTCTCAGGCTAAGCACTGCATATGCGCCATACATGCCGTACTCCAACACAGCTCATCCTTCGCAGCAGTGCAATGTTAATCGGCACCATCCCTCTTTCCTCTCTCGGTTCGCGCGACTATGGTGCGTGCGCTTCAGCTCCCCTCGGGTTTTGGGTCGCTAACCACCCGCCCAAGACCATCGCCAGCCAGCCCTCCATCCCAACTCGGTTAATCCCCGTCCTTGACCGTGGCCGCCCAGTAACCCGCAAGCAGGCTGCCCACAGTCGCATGCGTGCAGGCCGACAGCACGCAGGGCGCCACCACCACCGGGTCCGCCGCAAAGTGCACCTTTGCAAGCACCGCCGCCAAGGCAGAGCTCTGCATGCCCACCTCGATCGAGTTGGTGCGCGCGATGCGGTCCGACAGACCCAGTGCCTTGGACAACGCGTAGCCCAGCATGAAGCCCGTCGAGTGGAGCACGAAGACGGACGCAATGATGGCAGCACCGGAGGAAGCTACCACGGCTACGTTCGAAGCTATCATGGAGCCTATGGTGCCGATTGAAGGAGAAGGGCGGGGGGGAATCAGGGGCACACAGCGGTTGAATTAGGTAAATAGATCCGCATATTTAGGACATAATGCAACTGCGTGCAGGCCAAAGGAAGGGAGAAAGGAGACGGAGAGGACATAAAAAGTATAAAATTCAGGGAGCCACATGCATACAAACATCGACGACCAGGGCGGTGAGAGGGACAGTAGGGTCCAAGGCAAAGGGACGGCAAATCGTGGGTTGCGGAGTGCGAGATGGCGTGAGGAAAAAGATGCGGCTCGTGGTTAAAGACAGCAGGCAAAAGCGGATGCGTGAATCGGCAGCTTTAGTTATTCCGCAGTAGCAAAGGACGTGGAGAAGTAACATGGAGGACGAAGGGGTCTCCATAGCGGTGGATGAATGAATCTTCACATATCCTTCCATCCTCCATCCGCACACCCAGCTTACCCTCCGCTGCCGCATCCTCCTGCATGCCATGCCGTTGCGGAAAGCGCCACACCGTGCCGCACTGCGATGACGTATCACACTAGACAGCCCACTCACCTACGATGAGGAAGACCACCACAGTCGCCAGGAAGGGCGTGTACAACTTGACTCGGGCCACCGCGGCAGGGAAGAACTGGTTCATGGCTGTACCTGCCAGCACGGGGGCCAGCACCAGCTGCAGCACCGATAGGAACATGGCGCGGGGGTCCACAGGCACGAGCGTGCTGCGACCAAGGGGCCCAAGGGTAAGGAAAAGAGCCGAGAGAGACGGTGGTTAAGGAAAGTGACTAATCGGTGTTCCGAAGGCTTTTTCTAGGGACTACGCCAACCTGTGACTGCTTTCCAAACCACGCAGAAGGCAGCGGCGCAAACAGACGGGCATTAACTGTAGGGACCTCCGGCCCATTTGAGCCGTTCGCAACGCAAACCCTGTCCAGAAAGGTCAGGGGATGCTGCAGGCGCACGGAGGAAATGTGCTTTCTGAAACTCCCACGTTCGATGGGTACCGGGACGGGACGCATACAATCAGGACAGAGCAGGTATTCCCAGCTCCGCCGTCTCTCCGGAGTCTGCTTCCACTGCTTCATCATCAAATATTCGTGCCGCACCCTGAAACGTGTGTACGAACACAGTTACGCACCCAACCAGCAGCGATGTGAGGAGCGGTGTTGTGAAAATGGCCATGAGAGTAGAGGCAGTGGTCATCATGATGGAGAGCGGCATGTCACCCTTGGCGATGTAGGCCTGCAGGCAAACAGGCAGGTGTCGCAAAACCAAACAGGCGTCAGCCAATCATGACAAGTCCGATAGCCAGGGCGCCAGTCGCCCACCCCAGATTGTGCAACTTGTGACATCTTTCTGGTGTATAAAGAGGGCTGCGGAGCAAAGCCAAGTCGTGCGTCTCGTCCAGCTGCCCTTCGTCATCTTAATCACTAAGCCTATCCCATCTCCAACGCTCATACGTGCGCATATGTCATGGTTCTTTAGACGTCAGACGCGGAGTATACTTGGCCATAGAGTCAACGAATTTAGCGCCGCTGGGTCATTCCGGATCATGACTGACCATCAATAATGTTCTTCAGGTTTCGGGTTCCTTGTGTGCGAAACAAGCGCCCGTTCTTCCCGTCCTTCCCTCACAACGGCCACCCAGCTTCTTTAAGACCCGCCGTTTTTAAGCTCAGCGCCGTACCACAATGTTGGATGCCGTTCCACCCGGCATGCAGGACACCAGCGCCACGCCAACTGCCAATCCTGGAGCGATACCCGGCTGTGCCGCTAGGTAGCGTGAGATAAAGTACCCGAAGATGGGAAGAATTGTGTACTGCAAATACAGGGTGTACGGCGCATGGTGCATGCGGAGAGAGCTCAATAACAGGTAGGGCCCATGTCCAGGTTGCCTTACTGAAGTGGAAGCATGGCAGGGCAAGCAATGCGGCTTGAAGGGAGGCCATGGTGTCTTGCTCAATATGCATTTGCTGATATTGGTGTTGAGCGGGCCGCCATAGGCACACATGGTCCACAGCCTTGCGCTGATAGCAGTCGGCACGCCTCGACGGTTAGGGCAGAGCAACAGGGCACCTGGGCCTCTGGGCACACGGCACATGGCCCAGAGCAGCGTTGCCACTCTGCAGCCCTAGTGTGATCCGATATAAACTTGGGAACCATCCCCGGGACGAGATGGCAGCAGTGGCGGGCCAACGCTTCAAGTTTTAGAAGCGATGAGGAGCTGTGACGGGACAGGAAGGCAGTACTGGACATGTGGACAAGGACACGAGAACCAGCGTGGACCGGCTCCAGAGAGGTACTGGCTAGCAGAGCTCATGGACCCATACATCTGAAGGATCACATCCCCACCGCCCGCACCTGAAGGACCATTCCCAGCAGCAGCAACTGCGGCTGCTTTGTGAAGACGGAGATAATCTCGCTGAAGGTCAATGTCAGGCCCATGCCCGCCTAAGAGGAGTCGGGAGTTGCAATAAGGGGGACGGCTTAAGGACTCAAACCGCGGGCCATCGCAAAACGACAATTCCCTCACATCAGTCCGCGTTTGGGTTCCGCCTTGGTCGAGCATGCTCCAAAACTGAAGTAAAAAGTCCCTTCCTATCGGGTGTAGCGAAGTGCTGCGTTTCAGAGCTTAAGATTGGAAGAGGAAGACCCAGCAGGCATGCGTGAAGAAGCCCGTGCGAGTGTAAGGGGATATCTATATTCGGACGTGGGAAGGGTAAAGGTTATGGGCAGAGGTGTCATGTCCCAGGTGCTCCTCCGAGAAGGCTAGGGACGGAGGGCCAACCGATGTGCGTCGTACAGATCGTACCATGACGAACATTAGCCCGTACGTGATACATGTGTTGTCAAACCATAGGTACAGCTGCGGTGCATGGAAGGCCGACACTGCCGCCAGGATTACCCACAAGGGGAAGAGCCGTGTGAAGAAGGCGCAAAAGGCGGCGAGTTGCCGCTCCAGAGGAGAAAGCGCGACCATGGGCTGCCTGCCTCCTTCAGGCGAGGGTGACGCGCTGGCACTGGATGCAGCGGCACAGGTCACGCGACGGCTAGGAATGTCGCCAGGACACCGGCAGGCATCGCACTGGCTGGGGACCGGGGCTACTGCCTCCGCCGGCAGTCGGAACGCTGGGGGCCCCGGGCGCTTGCCCAGAGGGGCTAAGCAGCGCGGTGGATGGTAGGCGACCCTTGAGTTCATCGTCCAGTGAACATGAGCAACACTGATTTGGAGGGCCACGGTGAAAGGGGGGAATGAAACATCCGAATGCCTTCACGGTTGGCGGACGTTGCCGTTAGGAGTGTTCCATTGATTTATCTAACATGCAACCATTGTATGGTTCTAAGTATATGATGCTTACCTTGGACTTTGCTTGACCGGCAATCTGGTGAACCCCATTATGACGGAAAACGTCCGCGACTTGCAGCTACCTGAATCAATTTGCGCTAAGCAGCGATAGCAGCAAGCATTACCACACGCTTGCTGTAGCTATGGAATGTTGTTATCGTAGCTGGTTTTTCGTTCATCATAGGTTGTTTCGGAGCAGCTGCAGGAACCAGGCATTAGGGCGCCATGGGATACCTAGATGTGCTATTTTCAGGTAAACAAAGCAACTTGTGGTAACGTCTGCTTCACGCTGTTTGGCTGTCGCGGGTCTGCGTAACTGTTGTATGTTCAAGCAGCCGAACTTGGCAAAGTGTGTATTCTCTTTTAGGAGTAGTTGACGGTTATGCCCAGCATTTTTACTCATGAACCCCCGTGCTCACATCAGGGACGCTGTCCGAGGACTGGCCTCTAATGCCATTGCAACAGAGCGTCTTGATACCCAGCATCAGGGCTTCGGGAAAAACCGAGCGAATTTTACGTGAAATATAAAAACAGATAACGGACGAGTAATATATGATGGATATTCGCAAGATTGCTTGCATCGGGGCCGGTTACGTCGGTGGGCCCTCGATGAGTTGCCTGGCCTACAAGTGCCCCGACATCACGGTGACGGTTATTGACATAAGCCCAGAGCGGGTTGCTGCATGGAACAGTGACAATCTTCCGCTGTACGAACCGGGCCTGCTGGAGATAGTCAAGGCCGCGCGGGGGAGGAACCTTTTCTTCTCCACTGACGCTAAAAAACACCTCGCGGAGGCTGATCTCATCTTCGTATGGTGAGACCCCTGACCCCATGTCTTTCGACGTGATGTTGCCTATCCGTGCGCCACCTCACAACAAGACTGTCCACGTCCAAGGGAAGCACTCGCAGGGCCAGCCTGCTGACACCCAACCTTCCCTCCCCAACCCCGGAGCAGCGCATAACATTTGAACCCATTACCACAACAAGCCGCACAGCATTAGCAGGAATGCACGCATCTTGTCTGGTCACCTTTCGTACTCGTCCGTCTCAGTGCGGACCGCCCAATCTTCAAATGTCACGTCTCGTTTTCCTTTCCCCTCCCGTTCCTCCCGTGACTGTGTTTTCCCAATCCTTTTCCCCCTACGTTGTCAGCGTGAACACGCCTACAAAGCTCCAGGGAGTTGGTGCCGGCAAGGCTGCCACGTTTGGGTTCTGGGAGGCTGCGGCGCGCCTTATCGCCGCTTCGTGCCACGGCTGTGGGCCCAAAATTGTGGCGGAGAAATCTCCTGTTCCCGTCAAGACCGCGCAAGCAATGTCGAGGGTCAGTTGGCCTCCACCGTCTCTGCGTGACTGGTGCTAATTTTTTCGCTGTTGTGTCGCGGTGGGCTGTTAGGTGCTACGACTGTACGGACGCTGCACTGACACTGCAAACCCACCTTATGGCCAAGTTGCCATACCGTCGGTTTGGGGCTCTGTAGGCGTGATTGCACAACGGCGCCAGCACATGCGGCTCATCGACATGGAGTAGGCGCAGCACATTTACATTAGGTTGGCTGACGTGGACTGGGGGGCGTGTGTTCAGTGGCTGTATGACAAGTGCGTTCGATGTATCCGCCGATGTGGAGGACCGGGATCTTGAAGCTCTCCGCGGTGTGGGTCAAGAGCCATCATAACCTCGTAGAGCGCTGGTGACTAGTGGCTGGCACTCAAACGGGGGTTCCCCGCTTTAGGGGCAGTTGCTTTGGCCGGTTTCGGGTACCAGCTGGGGACTTGAGGGGCTACTTGTGGGATGTGCACTTGCGTGAGTAACACTTTGAAGGGGGGAAGGGGTCTGAGGGCGTACGGGAAGAGGGGGCCGGGTTTGGCCAGGGGGAGGATTTGGTGGTCCGTTGGTCAAATCAACAAGCTGCATCGCCTCTAGAAGCATACTTCAAGCCAGGACAGCAAGCCCCCTATACGGTTCCGGCCTCGTGCGCTGCCATCACAGGCCTTCCCCACCACCTGTAGGCGTGTTCCCATACCGGCAAGTCTAGGGAACAGCTTTCACTAGGCGAGTGCTAGCTACCTGCTCTCTTGGGCGCATGGGAGTCGGTGCAGTTGGTTGCGCATGCAATGTTGCATCCCCGACACAACCCTCTGGCGGCGGTTTGGAGCTGATTGGCGGTCACATACAGCCCGGCTGATGCCCCACCCGTGCGCTCCCAATTGCTCCAGACCCCGTCCAAAACGGTGCAAGTCCTCCGCCTGGCTGCTGTTTAACCTTGACCTCGGAAGGTTCTCCTTTGCGTCTCCTTTGAGCTTTCGCACGCGTGTTCTACGTTGTCTTGTGTAGACCAAGTGCATGCGGCGCTTGCCGCAGCCCTCCTGACACTTCGGCTAATGCTTCCGCGGCTCACCGCGTCCCATCGCGCTGCACACGGCACCGCCCAACCCAACTCAGGTCCTGTCTGGCTGCCAGGACGGCGAGAAGACGCAGTTTGAGGTCATCTCCAATCCGGAGTTCATGAGTGCGGGTACCGCCATTCAGGATTGCTTGCAGCCGGACCGAGTAAGCGACAGGGAAGGGGATGATAATGCAGGGCAGTGGGGGCGGCGAGGGGGGCGAGATGGGCGAGATTTTGATTTGGGATGGGGGAGGGGAACGTGAAGAGATATGTTGGGGTAAAGGGTGTCACGATAGCGGTTACGGGGGCGAAAAGGAACAACCGTCTTTTTATATTTTAGATTGGTCGGGAGCAGGATTGGCTCATTGATGGTCCTGGTCGGGGCTCTGGAGGAAGGACCCCAGCGACAGCGCTATGTGCAGGCCTGCAAGACCACCAGCCGTGGTGGCAGTGTTGGCAGCTGGGCACTCACCTCCTTGCTGACTTACCATCTTGAAGGCATTGCATGCCGGCCTATCCTCCTGCCCATACACCTACGCGCTCCGTGAGCCCCTATGTGGCCTTGTCCGGACTTCGCCCAGGTCCTTATTGGTGGTCGGGACACGCCCTTGGGTCAGGCCGCAGTGGAGAGCCTGGCTCGGGTGTACCGGAGGTGGGTCCCTCCTGAGCGCGTGCTGAGTATGGGCCTGTGGAGCTCAGAGCTGGCCAAGCTGGCGGCCAATGCCTTCCTGGCACAGCGCATCTCCTCCATAAATGCAATCTCGGCGCTGTGCGAGGAGACGGGCGCGGACGTGCAGCAGGTGTGAGGAGCATTTTAGCATGAGGGAGGAGAAAGACAAGCAAAGCAGGGGCGAAGGCGGAAAAGCAGTCCCGGGAGCATAGGACCGTACATTTTTCTTATGTGAATATACTTGTGCATGTTGTAAAGATTACGCGTGAAGGAGCTGAGGTGAGGTCAGATGGGGGGGAATGGCACACAGGACCGGTGGCACAGGCGGCTGGTATGAGTGTGTGTGATTACATACGCATGCGTGCCCGCGTGATTCGTGATGATGGGATGCGTATGAGAAAAGCTACCAAAGCCCCGCTTCCCCCCCTACCCTAAGCTCCTTTCTTCTTTTCCCCAGACAAGTTACAGTCCGGGCCATCTTGTCTTAACCCTGCACTCGTCTCTTCCCAACCTAGGAAGACCTCTACCCCCCACTCTTTCCTTGGCAGCAGCTTCAACCGCTGGTGGTTCGTCTTTTCCCCCACTCGAACTCCCGACTCCGGCCCGTCCTCACATGGCGCCTCACACAACCTCTCACCCCCCCCCAGGTGTCCCACGCCATCGGCACGGACAGCCGCATCGGTCCCCGCTTCCTGATGGCGGGTTGCGGCTTCGGCGGCCCCGCCCTTCAAAAGCACGTACTCAACCTGGTGTACATTTGCGAGAGCTTGGGGCTTAGCCAGGTGGCGCAGTACTGGCAGCAGGTAGGTTGGGGGGGACAGGGAACCGTGCGAGGACGGGTGACTCTTGACACTCGGCCGCGAATGGCCATTGGAGTGAGTTGTTGCCCAATTAACTTGGTTTGTCTAGGAAAAGTAAATGGAAAGAGTAGGAGGATGCGTGTGTGCCAGAGCGAAGGAGCGGGAGGGGGACCAGCAGACGAGGAGGATTTCCGTCAGCTGGCGTGCTTGTTTGTGCTTATGCGCACTGAGCCGCTGATCGCTTGTGGTGGGAGGTGCATTTGTATGTTATAACTCCGCAAATAGGACAGCGGGGTACCTGTGCTGTGTGTGTATGTGTTTTGCCAACCCGGACGGACGCTAATTCCAGAAAACACGTGCGAAATGCGAATTAATCGACGGGACTGACTGGACACAAAAGCCGCCTGGAGTCGTTGCATGTGCATCTCGCAACTTGTTGGTTGTGCGTTAGAGCAGGATGGGCAGGATGGGAGGGGCTTAGTACTTACGAGCCTTGTGCCCATGTGCGAGATATGTGTAGGAGGTGTACGGGTAGCTGGGGCTGTTGGTGTTTTGCCGTATGGGGCGCCGTTGGTGGTGCACCGAGCATTAGCACAACATTCCGTCTTGCTCCGCCGCTGGCCATTGTCCAGGTGGTTGATATGAACGATTGGACCAAGGCACGTTTTGTTCAGCGTATAATTACGTCTATGTTCAACACTATTCGCGGTAAGAGGATCGCCGTACTGGGCTTCTCGTACAAGGCCGATACCACGGACACGCGAGACACCGCCGCCATCGATGTGTGCCGCGGTCTCCTGCTGGATGGCGCTGCGTTGGCGGTGTACGATCCCAAGGTAAGTAACGGATGTGTACAGACGTTTCCTCTTGCGGGTGCGCTGCTTTCCTGCTCTGGTTCTCTTTGGGCTGCGTATCTTTGTGTTGTCCTGGTATGACGTGATGAACGTTTCGTTGGCTCCTACGACTGAGCGGAAAGACTGGGAATAGAGTGGAAAGAAACCGGGTAGGAAGGGATGGGGATGCGGCTATGTACTTTTATGTGCTTTTCTATAGCGCGTCGTGCCTATGCCCAAAGTATGCCGCATACGCGATGCCCCCATCCGAATGCAGGTCAGCCCTGAGCAGATTCATCTGGACATGTGCCTACCTAGGGGCTCCCTAGAGCAGCCCCGCCGCCAGCACACCACTGTATCACTGGCAACTGTGGATGTCGCCCGGAGTGCGTACGATGCCTGTCGAGGTGCACACGGGCTTTGCTTCCTCACGGACTGGCCGGAGTTCAGGTGGGCAGGGGGCGCGTGTTCGCAGTGAGGGGTGGAGGCGCGTTGGGTTGACGTGGCTTAAAGTGCGGGGCCCAGGCACTGCCGAGGCAGCAAGGCCGCACACGGGACAACGTGGAGAGCGTGTCCAACCTGCGACTTCAGTGCCGAGGTGGATGGGTGCCTTCATCTCTGTCAGGCCCCATTCCTCAATGCTCTCCGATCCCTTTTAACGTGATATGTTTCTTGCATGTTTTGGGGTTATGATTGTACCCTTCAACCATTGTCCATTGGCAGGTCCTTGGATTTCCGTGCCATCTATGCGGCCATGATGAAACCCGCCTTCGTATTCGATGGGCGCAACCTGCTGGACCACGGGGCGCTACGGGAAATAGGATTCGTAGTGTACGGAGTTGGCAAGCCGCTGGACCCTTTCCTCGTGCAGCGCCAGGGTTGCGATTTCGGAGACGTGGACGGCGAGGACCCACGGGCCATGTGTAGCGTGCTGGCTGGCATGCGCAGCGTGTCGTTGGGCCCGGCGTCGGCGCATCACAACGACGGCGAGCCGGCGAGTCAGCATTGAGGATCGGAGCGATTGGGGTCACGGGTTGGCAGCTGTAAGGGTATGAGCGAGCGAAGGGCGGAGGGGTATTGTTTTATATTTTTAGACGGGTAGTAGGACGTGAAGTGAGCTTTACGGACTGACGCAGTCGGCGTCCAGAGCACAGTTTTCGAGGGCTTATTGACAGGGGCGGGAAATTAAGGATCTTGTCTGTGGTAATAGATGGATCGTTGGGTGCGAATTTCCGTGATCTCTGCGGTGAAGCGAGCGGGAGTTTGATCAGAAATGTCTTACGTTTTATTCGGTATTCAAATTTCAGTAACCGCAATATGACTGATACGATTTGGTATATTCGGCCTTTGTATTGGTAGATTGTGTTTGATCACGCACCTGTGCCGGGGTTTGTTTGCATGGTGCGCTAAGATTAATTAAGATGTCCTAACCCTCATGGGCTCTACGAATATTTTCCTTCGTTATGTAAGGTTTCGTTTACCGTGCGTAAGCGAGTGTAAGAGCCGCCTTAACTTGCATCAGTGTGGTGCAGATATCCTGTAGTGTATCAAAGATATCCTTGTCCCAACTGACGAAATACGGGTCTTAATAGTGATTATCTACTGACACTACTCCCATGCAACAGCCGTGCAAGGGACCATCCGGGCAATTGTCTGCTTCGACAATAACCTGATATTCCAATACAGTACTGACCGATTTATCGCATTATTTGAAAGTCATGATCATGCCGCCCGTATCCTCTTAGTCAGACGTCGTTCAGATTACAATAACAATTCACTCATTCGCGCCCGGCGGGCATAATTACAGCGCTGCATAGACATTTTTAAACGCTCCCTCTTGAATGCACTTGCACACTCCTCTACACTCCTCCGTAGGACATACGGTTCAACCTAAAACAAAAGCCCTCGCCGCCGCAGCTCCACCTCAAGAGCTCCTGAGCCTTTAAACAGTATGCCATCTAAACCAGCAGCACACGCCGCCTCCACGTTAACCTGTATGGTCAGGTAGAGAGTAATTTAGACGTCGAGGACTTGCAACAGAAAGATGACAATCAGCGATAAGAAACACCAAGCGAGTCGAACAATTCCAACACACTGTATGCCACGGCTGAACACGCCTGCATGCTCCGGAAGGGTTGCTTGCACAATCGGGGCCACATGCAAAAGCAAATCGCCGTCAGCAGATCTAAACCAAATCCAATGGAGGCTAGCTTGTTGGTATATCACACACCTTGCGGTCATCAACGAATATGATGTCATCAGGCGGTCGTTGCAGCGTCTTTATGCATATCTCGAACGCCTCCACCGCCGGCTTGCGAAAGCCCTGCCATGCACAAGCGTAAGCATATGCTATAGTTCAAGACAGATGCCGAGCCGATAGGTATAAATCCGGGATGCCTGCACCAATTTTTAGTGACGACAGGCGTTGTGATCGCCCCGTTCGGCGAACCCCGTTCATCTAGTGCGCCAAGTACCCTGAGTATTGCCACTACCAGTCGATATCAAATGGTAATGCACGAGGAAGGGTTCAGAAGCCAAGCGTTCAGAATTCGTGTTTGTTTTCATTTACGGGCCCAATCTTTTATTGGGCCCTCAATATGGCAGAAAATCATCATTCCCCTTCCTCATGCAGCAGAAGCAATCATACATCCATACAATAGGAGCTCGCGACAGTGCCCAGGACAACCCCCACACCAGTCTCACCTTCATCGGCCCCTCGCACGACACAAAAGTCCATTGCAAGTATGCGGAGGGCTGCAGCTTGTCCTCGATGAGGCGAAACCAAATGGGGTAGTTTGACATGGCATGTAAATCAAAACTGGCGGCCTTAAGCCGGCTTAAAAGGGACTCCATGCCATCCAAGTAGCGGTACTTGGACACCTGCAGGAGGACAAATCCTGTTGCGTCTGAGCCATAAACATACAAAGGACTCGAAACCCAAACGGATCGCCATCTCGTACATCATAAGGGTAGCGCTCCGTAGTACACCAGAAGTGAAGCGCGCAGAGATCAATGATGCAATATAACTAATGGGTAGGATGCAAAAGGAAAGCAGATGTAGAGTTGGGCTACGCGGTCTTCTGCTTCTTTGCCGGCGGCATGCCTTGGAAAACGGTGCCCCGTAGGAAACCCAACCACGGCAACACGGGCACACCGCCGTCGCACCGCAGAATGAGTCCTGCTGGTCTCTGACGTGCTTCTACAAGCCCTCTAGGCAGGGAAACAGCAGACGAGCCAAGAAACCGGTCCGGTTTTGCATGTCTGCAATGCTCCCTGGCAGAACACTTGTACACGATGTTTTCAAATTCGCGGGATCGTGTGTGCTAAGTTGCACGCACCATCATCGCCTTAAGGGCAGCTCCGTCCACCTTCCTCCCATCGGAGAAGAACTGTTGTAGAAGTTCATCTTCAGAGATGGAGCCGCACTCAAACTGAACCCACGCCGTTGGATGCTTAGACGCAAGCAACTCCTTAAAGGGCCTGCGGTAAGGGTTAAATATTCAACAGCCTGACCTGGAAATATGCTCGTCTCAGTCAGGCACCCTCACATTCCAAAGAAGGCGGGCATGTCGTGGAAGAATGGATCATAAACCACAGTATCCTGTCCAAGGACAGAACGACGGCAACAGGTCGGCCGCAGACCGATGTCCAGGTCCATTCTCAATACTGACCACATCCTCCTTACCATAATATCAAACAAGATCACAGGACGCCGCTTCTCGAGAGCCGCCATCCCCTTGCAACGTATTTGCGACAACGCAGGCGGCGGCCGCCTGCAATGCTATGTAAGGGTGAGGTTCCCTCTTATAAGCCGCACAAGCCACTATACCTCCATGAACATATCTGCTTGGCTCACCTAATCCATCGGCTGAGCCGGCACTGAGACCCCAGTGCGCACGAGCCGACCACCATTCAGGAACTTATGCAGGAAGCGTGAAACACGCCCATGCTATATACAGTTTATTCAATCATTGCCGGAACTTACAAACTTGTAAGTCTAGCTCAGGATTTGTACCCAGAAGTTGCCGTTCACTTTACCGTACGTGCACCGAACTGAGGACTCTTGAGTTCCTACGTGCGCATCAGGCGCATTTGTTGCGTCTGCATATGCTGCATCGCTTTGAGTCGACAGTTGAGTAAAAAAAGGTTGCGGGCGTCCAGTGCGCGTCGTTGTCTTGGCATCTCTCTTGTCACAGATCACATACTGTACACAACCGCGCCTAAAGGAACTGGACAGGATGAGGACTTGCTTACGCGGCGTTGGCCGCGCCCACAAGCGCGCTGAAAGGCTACACCGGGGTCACACGCTGAGCGCACCGACACCTGGGACGTGCGCTGCCAGTCGCTATGTGGGGACTAAGGCGATGACAGGTATGCGGCCGCATTCGCTCGCCTAGTCGCGGACATAGGCCTGCCGGAGCTTTACTGATCGCGCTGTCGCTGTTTCCAACGCGTTGAACAGCACGACGCGTGGAGCACAGTGGCCGTGCATATTCTTTATTTAATAGAATCTGGTGGCAAGGCTGTATTGTTACCTGCCAGCATAGCATACGGCTATCGTTGCTTATCGGCTGGGCTTAGGCATGCAGCTCCGAAACTGTCAAACTGCTGCTGACTTGCCGCACAAGCCTGCGTGACGAGAAAACGTATCAGGACACCAGCGCCGCGGTGTCTTGCCCACTTCGACAATATATTGACTTCCGCCCTAACGGCGGCAGTACTGTCTCGTTCCTTTGTGCACCAAACAAACACCTCCGCGCGCCTCTTCCCTCTTCCAGAGACGGCGGTGTTTCTGGAGGAAATCGCAGTATCTCAAACCCCCAAGCGGCTGCAGGGGCTTATGCGGGTAAGGACAACAGGCTGCTGCTACACCTGGGTGGTGCGCTAGGTAGAGACCAAAGGACCCGAATCGACCCCCCCAAAACACTCGAGCACATCTTTGCAGACGTAGAACTCAAGGGTTTTGGGTATGCCAGTTGCCTGCGGTTACAAGCTGGGCTGGTCGTGGTGCTGTTCTTCGCGCGGTGGCGTTACCTCCATGAAGCAGCACTGATGTACTACGGCCAATGGGGCAATGGTTGCAATGGCGATTAGCTCCCGCAACTGTTTGTTTCCATGCTGCCGGGTGTTGGAGCAGGTGTTGGAGGCTCGCGGTGGCGTCTCGCTGTCCCCTGCGGATCGCCGGGGATTGCACCCGCTGCTGGTGCCGCTGTCGGCGCAGGGGGATGCTGTGACGTGCCTGCTGCGCTGGCCAGAGCCGTCGCAATACAAGGTAGGTCACACATCCGTATCGTAAAACATGTCCGATGGTGTCACGGCGTTTGTGGCACCGGGGGGCGCCACGTTCACTATGGGGAGGGCACCGAAAGGGGGCACTGCCGCTGCAAGTACGGGTGGCCGGGCCACTTGTGTGGGACACATCGGTCCGCCCTTTTGTATGAATCCCCACTTCCTCGTGTGCCACCTCACCGAGATCAGCTCCTTGTGCTAATTGCAAGTGCCTGACCTCCTGCCCCGCAACTGTTAACGTTCAGCTATTTAATCCCTCTTCGGCCTGCCTGCTTTTGTCGGGCTGATCAATACCAATGATCATACAATGTGCTTTCAGTCTTGTATGGTGCCTGATTGTGCTCACTGCGGCCGCACCCGCACCGTCGGACCTTTCCTGCCCAACGCATACCTACACAGAGCATGCCGCTGCCGGTCGTGTGTATGACCCGTGGGTCGGTTGGCATGACGCTGGTGGCCCGCAGCGTTGACGAGTACCTGCACCGGTAGGGGTAAAATGGGGGTGGGTGAGAGGGTGGGTGGGGTGCCGATGCACTTGGCGGCGTGGCGCGGGCGTGACGTGCCAGTTTGTTGCCCTGTCCGAGCTTCGGTTTGCCTGTACATGCGTGTATGGTCTGTCCGTCCGTAGTCTGTCCATGTGCCAGGCCCTCTTGATGCTTTCATATTACTTTGGTGTTTAGCGCCATTCCGTTTTCACAAAAGACCTGCCCGCACCGCTCCACCAGCTTTTGAATCAGAGCGCACATTGAGCAGGGGCTCTGCCTCTCGGAACATACGATACCGCGCTAAGCACATGGATGGTGATGTGGTGACGGCGACAGCCGCGGAAGGTCTCCATTCCTGGCTGCACATCCTCATCACCATCCTCATACTTGGAACGCGCGCACTGCCCCTGCATCCACTCTGGCAGCCAGCCAGCCAGCCAGCCAGCCAGCCAGCCGGCAAGGGTGCCAATCGGTTATTGCGGGTTATAAGCCATCAGGCAATGCGTCTGCGGAGTATGTTATTGGCTTTGCCGCTACATTTGTGAATGATCGGCTGCTATGGTCCGGGGCCTTCACTGTCATGCGTGTATCGGTAAAATGTGCCCGTCGCTACCATGCACGGGCCTCTGTTTTTGTTGCCGGTGCTTTTCATGTCAGGTTACTGGCAGAGGAGGATTTAGCGGCAGCGTCCTGTGGCGATCGGCCGCTGGCTGACGCCGCCGGGCCCGATGCCGAGGGCCTGTTCCGGTCCGGGGATGTGGCAGCTGCGGGGCTGGGTGGCGGCAGCCGGGCGTCCACCTCCTCGACGGGCGCGACGCAGGGCAGCCAACAACAACAGCAGCAACAGGGTCTGGCGATGTACTTAATACGCAAGGCGGGCATGTTTCCGGACGTTTGTGAGGGGCTAGCGCTTGGGCACCTGAGCCGGAAGGACCCGGTAGGTTACTGCCCCTGCTGCTGCTGCTACTGCTGCTGCTGCTGCGACGGCTATTGCTGCTGCCACTGTTCGAAGGGCTGGGGAGGAGGGGCAAGGTTGGGAAAAATGGAGCCGCAATATGTGGATGTGAATGTGTACAGTAGAATGTGGAGTGGACCTTGAGGTCCCGGGGGGGGGGTCGAGGGAAGGGTTCGACAGTGTATACCTCACCGGGGGAGTAGTCTTCAGGAGCTGCTTGGAGTGGGGGGGGCGGTCTTGGTTGCTTTTGGAGGGAGACCTCTGCATTGCGACCCCTGGCGGATGGACACGGCTAATGGTCCCCACACCCGCGCCTGGAACCTAAAAACTGCAATATCCGCATTCCTTGCACGTATCTTCAGTCTGTACATGCACAATTCCTTAAGTCTTTCTTTCTTTCCTTCTTCCTCTCTTTCGGTACCCTCACTGTTAGACGTCTGCTATGGTGGCCTCTGAGTGGTACATGCGCAATAATCACTTTCCTGGTTGGGCCCGGCCGTACGAGTTCGCATCGGAGGTGTACACCTCACTCGGCCGACATGAGGAGGCGAGGGACATGGCACGGTGAGGGAAGTGGGGTGAGGAAGGCGAAGTGGGGCGAATTGGAGCCTGTCAAACTCACCCGTTTGGAAGTACGGGTATCTATCTCCCCCTTCACTCGCATTTCCTCCTCTGGAATTCCTATCCGCTGTTCCCCTCGCCCCTTGGGCTGGTCGCGTCCTGAACACACGTTTCATTGCCATGCATGCAGTATGGGTCTGCGGCTGCCCTGGTGGACCCTTCGGGCTCCCTTTGCAACCGTGGCCACCACCGCAGCTCTCCCCATCGATGCGGAGCGAGTCATGTACCTGCTAAGCGAGGAGGCGGCGGCGGCGGCATCCGCAAATGTGAACCGGTTCAACTACCGCGAACCGAAAAGCGCCAAGCAGGTGGGCGCATGCTGCCGTAGATTGTGGTGGTGGCGTGGTTGCTCTGGTTGTTTGGTCCTTTGGGGCCCCGGTGGACACGGTGGTATTTGGCGCAGTACACGTGAGGCTTGGCTGGTCGGGGTGGGAATTGGGCGCGTTCTTTGGCTGGAGTGTGGAGGTCTGGATCTTGCCGGCAACTGTTTCCCTCAACATCTGCGAACCCCCCAACGGTTCCTCCTTAGTTGGGGACGTCGCCGAGTTCCCTAGGGTCCATTCCGCCCCGAACACCAGCCCGGGACTCCTATCCATCCGTGCCTGTGCTCAGTTCCCATCCTAGTCCATACGGCTTTTTCCTTAACCTGCCTGCCCGACCCGGCTCCGATACCCGCCCTCCATTCCCCCCTCCACCATCCTCAGTTGGCACTGGAGCGGGCTACCGCACTGATGAACCGAGTGGTGGCGGGTGACTTGGTGTCGTACGACGCCATCCGGGAACCGCTGGCGGAGGCGTACGCGGAGGCGGGCCTCAGTGACGTCGCCAACTTTATTCAGGCGGCCTAGAAGTCCAGTGGCCGTTCGTTGGTCAGTATTGGTCAGTTGGTCAGTCCACCCATCAATTAGGGTTCCATCGACGGCATCTCCACGACAGTCGTTTGTCAGTGCAGGGCAAGTTGGGGTGGCTTCAGTGTGACGGTTGACCCACCCACCTGCTGTCTAGGGCTGACGGCAGTGCGCATTTGGCCGCTGAAGAATAGCGTTGTTGGTTGGGCCTTAAATTGGGCCTCTGGGGAAGAGCGTGAAGCTGCATTGCCCCTAAGACATCCAGTAAAGCTTCCAGTTACGCCGTACGCGGCTTTGCTTATAGTTTATGGCGTTGATGGTGTAGTGTTGTTGCCGGTGGTGCTGATGGAATACGGATGGTTTGTGATGGTTGTGGTCCTTACCTCGTCGTCGTTGTTCCTACTAGTCGTCGTCGCGCTTATTAATTCCACAATGCTGGTTCGCATTCTTAATTGGCATGAGCCATTAGGCTCGCGCGTCGGTGTTATTACATCATCTGCAAACGACCTCTCACACATGCACGTGTGTTAGTTACATGGCCGCACAACAGGCGGGAGCCACGTAGTTGCGGTGGCCACTGCTACCTACTCCCTGGGGCCTCACTCCTGTTATCTGGTTCGTACTGTGCTGGAAGCGGGCTTTGATGTTTGATGCGCTCTCGACATGCATCCGGTCTGCTGCCTGTTGATAACAGCTCGTTGTTAGCAGCTCACGCATGGGCGTCATCGTCATAGCTAAGTTTCACAGCCGTCTATATTCCTTCGGGCTGTTACAACGATAGGGTTGAAGCCTTACTGTCTGATAACGCCCAGTGTCAAAGTAGTGGAACTTGGACTTATCCACTTAGGAGTTCGGCTGGTAGGATATGAAGTCTTCCGTATGCGCTCTATCGAAGCTACACGCGATGCGACACGTTACCTATCGCAGGGCAAGTGGTTAGATGCAACCTCATAGCAAGTCGCTATTCCGGAGTTATACAAAAATACAAGCTGTGGCGCAAGGTAAGGCGAAGTTATCGCCGGAGCAAGATAGCGAAGAGGACTTGCGGAGGACTAAAGCTAAGCAAGGGCCATCTTAGTTCATTAGTGCGTTTTTTGGGGTCCACGAGCTGGGTGAACAGTATAAACGCAGTATATGAAGAGTCAGCCGCAGAAATGCTGCAATCCTTGTGCTGTTTTAGCTTGTTAGTAAAGGAACGCAGTTAAATGCTTCAGGAGCTGAATGAATGCTGGAATACATATTTTAAGAAGCATGTTATGAGCTGACATTGTTGCCAGAGGTTACGTGTGCAACAATGCGGGTTCATTGCGGTGCTGGCCAGTATGAGTAATGGTCATCAGCTCGAAAGTCCTTGCCTGCAGGAGTTTTCGATGGCCATTTCACATCGTCAGGCGCGGCAAGCAGCCCATAATTTTATGAGAATTATGATTCGGCCGGTTAGAATCCCCGTGTTAGCGCAGAGGCCTCGAAAACAGGTTCCCGTGTCATGGGAAAGTCATGTACGGAGGTGTTGCCATAACTCATGCAAGCAACGGATATGCACGGATAAGAACACAATGCAGGGATAAGAACACGCAAGAAATGACATACGATAATAATAAGCCATGAGATTATTTAATTGTTGTCCGTGCTATATGAAAAATTTAGCTCGCGCTGAGATTTGAACTCAGGTCGGTGGATTCAGAGTCCACAGTGCTAACCACTACACCACGCGAGCTCGTACATGTAAAAAATGTTAGTGTTCTCATTATATACAATATATTGCAGAAGTTTGTAATTATGGATTGCAACCTAATGCAAAAAATAGCTCCCGGTCATACCGGTGGTCCTACAACTCGCAACCAATCTGACCATAACCAATGGACGCTGACAAACACACAAATAGAACGGATAACGAGTTGCCCGAAGTGGATGCACTTAAGTCTTACCCCACATGCAGCGCATCCGTGGAGTTACGGTCATATCCCACGCTTTAGGACTGATCACAGGAATCTTAAGCTTCCATGGCAACGGCTCATTCCCATCCCAATTAACAATGCCTACCATAGAGTAATGGGCCACATTTTGCTACCTCCAACATTCAACCTTGGGCGTACGGCAGGTTACTTCCCTTCTCGAACACCTTGGGCGGGGAGGACCATAACCCTTGGACCAGCGAAACAGTAAAGGGCAGATAACATATGATAATTGATGAAACACTAGGTCTGGTTGGAAAGCGTGGGTTACCAGGTGCCGGCTTGTGCGTCCTGAGCTGAGCTTGAGTCATTCTATCGTATAGCATATACAGCAAACCAAGGTTGCAAGATCTGTCGTGCAATAATTGCTAGTGCAAAACCTTCGGTCACAACCATGGAGGTTTAGAAGATGGCAGATATCGCTACCTTTACGCGTTACAAGCACGGGGCCCCCAATAGGCTATGCAACGCCTTGGCAACACGTCCACGTAACTCCGCTTGTTCGGTTTCATAGCTACAGGAACTATCGCCAATGCCGTCCCGACGCGCCAAAGTCCCATTTACAGCATACAAATACGAGTCAAGTTCACAAACTGACTTTCGCAGATCACCAATATATGAATATATAAAGTTCGCCAACTAACTTCGCAACATTACAGATAGGAAGTCACATGGCAGGTTCCGATACAGGCAGGTGTGTGTTATAGATTATACAGTTGCTGAACTGTGCTTCAGGATAGTAAGTTGTCGTGTCGTTAGCATAATAAACGCTCCAATACAGAAGGAAGCTTTGTCTTCTTCTTCGCACGCGAAGGCAAACATGCTAGCTGCTACGGTTTGAATTCGGTTGAAGGCGGTTTCGACCGTACAGTGTCTTCAGCTGCTCAGCAAGCATATGGCACAAAGTGACAGGGAAGACACATTGTATACTTGCCTACTTACCTCCTTCATTTTGTCCTGCGGCAGCGACGCCGCGCTGCGTGGCCGTATAACGTCAAGAAAGGTTACTTGCAAATTGCAGCAGAAATTGCATTGCGAATGAAGTATGGCGCCACGTTATTGGAATGCTACGGCTCCTTTGCCCTGGGAGGCCTTTGCTATCGTCCGTATTGCTGCCCTGGCGCTGTTTGAAGCGCTCTGGGGACTTTTCACGTGGCCTTTTGTGCGACGGACAGAAGATGTTAAGTTGTCCTACATTGCAACTAAGGAAAACCACAACCTGATCGCCAGATGCCCGGCGATACAGACGTTTTCATGCTCTCCATGGGCTGTCGGTAAGGCGCCTTCCCTTCTCTACGCAGCTTTCGGTTTAGCCGCTACACATGCTTGTGGATACATACGGCCTGCGTTGGCCGCCGTCAGCACGCCTCTTAACTGGGGCTCCCAGAAAACCGCCAGCCCTGCACTTTTCACCTATCGGTCGTCGCCATCCTCACCGTCGCCCACCTACAGTAATCCCCGCAGCCAATATAATTCCACTAAATATGCGCAGGTCCTCACGCGCAGACGTTCTTCAGCATAATCAAACTGGGTTCGCGTCCAGTGCCCCGAAAGGAACTTGTGACGATGCCTGACGGCGTCCAGATCACCCTGCTCTGGTTCGAACCAAAGCAAGGAGCCGCTGAAGACGCGCCTCTGCTGATCAGCTTGCACGGCATAGGTACGGGGTTCGCCACCTCATGGCTGCATCCACTCACGGAAACCACCACAATCACACCCTGCCTCTCCCTTTGGTCCCCTTGAATTGGCCATGCAAGTAATGCCGTACTGCCGTACAGAGGTTCCAGCAACAGGCAACGACACCGTTAGCGCTCCAAAGCCGGCACCTGCTTGTCATCTCCTACCTTGCCACCTCTTTTTAGCCGGGGAGAGAGTGGGGCCCGAGTCATTGGGGGCTAACAGACTGCCCTAGTCGCATTTTGTGGATCGTAACTAGGGCCTGCCGCAATCCAGAACTCCAGTTCTGAACTTTAGGGCCCCAAAATGCCACGAGGCTAAAACCTTCCTCGTATGAACACTGCCCACCACCCGCCACACCAGGCGGCGATGAGAACTCCGTGAGGCCCATCGTGCTGGCGGAGGAGTGTCTACGGCGGGGCTGGCGGAGCGTACTGTATGTACGGCGGGGACATGGCGATAGCTCTCTGCTACCGGTGGCGGTACCGTCGGCGGCGGATGGCAAGACCTCGGCGGCGGCGGCGGCGGCGGCGGCGGCGGCGGCGGCGGCAGGGGCGACCGTGACCATTGTTGGTTGCGGCAAGGGGGCCGAGGGGAGGGCGGGGCAGGTGAGGGCCCGGGGGTGGGGATGACCGGGGTGGGTTTGGACATGGGCGGGGTTTGCCCTGGGATTTTGGATGGGGTGGAGGATATGTAGTGTTGTGGTGGTGTGGATGCATGGATTGATGTTTGGGGCCGTTGGCTTGTTGGAGCCTCTGTTGCGGGTTCAGGGGCCCCTGGGTGGTGGGTCGGGTCCGGAAGGGCCCGCAGGCGATCGTGTGGATGCTGCCTGTTCCTTGGGCCCCGACCGGAGCCGCTGGCGGGGCTGGTCTGAAGCCCATACCACGCACAGTTCCGGACGCTATCGTGCGGCACCCCGCGCAGGGAGCCAAGGACATCGGCACCCCGGCCACCACTGGGAACGCCACTACGGTCCAAGTAACGGCCGCGGCTGCGGCTGCGGTACCGGCTGCCGGCGCCGCCACCACCGTGACCATCATCGCCACAGACGGCGGTGGCTGCAGTGACGTCAGCCCCTCCGTACACGGCGGCTCGTCCTCCCCCGCCAGCGGATGTCTCCAGAAGGACCTCAGTTTGCCCTCCGTACTAATGATGGGGGTTGGCTGTGGTGGCGGGTGCGGCAGCAGCGGCACGGGCGAACGTGGTGACGCTGCCACCTCCCGTGCAGCGGCTGCCGCCGCCGCCGTCGACCCCGAGGTGCTCCGCCGTACACATAAGGCCTTTCCTCAGCACGCGGACACCGAGGACCTTCTGGCGGTTCTTCTGCACATCCGAGCTGCTAGGCCCCGGGCATTGATGGTGGCGGTGAGCATCGGGGTGTGTATGTATGTATGTATGTGTGAAACAGGGGGGTGTATCTTCGCCCGTGGCAGCTACCCTGCGAAACCCTGCCTTCCCCGGTATTTCGGGGCACCCTCATCCAATCACCCTAGTCAACTTCTCAGTGGATCGCTCAGGTTCCGCATCCACCACCAGCATCCAACGGAATCTGCCGGGTCGACAGCGGCCCAACTCCGTTCCTGGTCGGCTCGCAGGTTAACTTTATCCCAGGTCACCACCGTCCATCAACTAGGGGCGCAATGCCTTCCACCATCGGAAGGACTTTTGACCCTAATGGGTATCGATCCCGGGATCTCCCGGGGGCAATGGTCGCGCCTTACCAGTAGTGCCAAACCCTATATATATGTGTATGTGTGTGTGTGGAGAGGAGGGTGAGTGCAGGAGTGTGCGTATGTGTGATGGGGGATGTGATGGGGGATAAAAAGAAAAAATAAAAACGCAAAAGAAATCTACGAAGAATGTTAAAAGGATGGTGGGGTAGGGGGCTGTTGCCTGTTTAGGGTATGCAAGGACTGTGCGATTAGGTCCAGTCCTTGAGAACGCCAGATAAGGATTAGCTTGGACTAGAACGTGCCCTGTCGTGAATACGGGGAAAGGATAGGCAGGAGAGTAGCTTAGAGGGGCAGAAGGACTGCGTGAGTTGCTGATCAGGTAAAGGAACGAAGACATCAGCGTCGAAAATGAGGGACGTTGTAGTCGATGACGGAATTGACTACCACAAAAATGCGGCATTAGAAGCCTTATGAATGCAAGAATTTGCATTGAAGGACTTCGGCAAGAGCGGGTTACGCACGTCTATCATAGAAGCTGTGTACCTGCTGCAGCAGTTTTGGGGATTAATGAACGAGGCGGATATCGATGAGTTTTAGTATTTTTGGTGATATTCAGGTAAATGAATTTGGCCCGGTATACCGAGAATCGTAGGGTAAATGCCGTACATGTCCTTAGTAGGCACATGATTGAGCAGGAATTTTGGAGATGCCGGTTTCGGAGAGGGTTTCGGAGTATGTCATTCAGATATCGTCTAGATAAACGAGATGCTTATTTTATTACCCATTACACCGGTGTGGGTGGCGGTGGCAGATTGTCAGATGAAAATAAGTTTTCGCGCCACGCAAGGAACAGGTTTGCGATAAAAGGTGATGGAGACATGCGCTTAGGTGTGCCGAAAATGTTTTGCACCGTATCGAGTCCAATGGACTACATGTAGCTAGCTTGTAATGGTGATCAAGAAGCTGTGTAGAAAGTCGTCAAGGACAAGGAAAAGGCAACATTGCCAAGAGTTGTCTTGATGATAACCGCGAAAGGGGGATGGAGGAGACCTGGCGTGATATCCGGGTGGGGACACGTTAAGCCGTTGCTAGCGAGCTTGTAGGTGGGGGGGCGGGATGCTGTAGCCTGAAAAGGCCACTTGGAGTACGTCTGTGTATTACAAGCACCGGCCAGTCTCTCCCTCCCCCTGTTTCCAGTTGATTTCGGCGTATCATGCCCTCATTCCCTCATAATCCCCCGTCGGCCATGCTGCCAACGTAGGTGGGCTTCTCCATGGGCTCCAACGTGCTGGTGAAGTTTCTAGGGGAGCATCCCCCGCCGGGGGCCGGTGGGGGGAAATCACCCGCCTCGCCATCATCGCCCTTGTTTCCCTACTCTTGGACCCCCGACAACACAGCCACCTCCACCTCCACCCGCACCCCCAACCCCACTACTGGCCAAAAGAGCAACAGTGCTGTGACTGTGGGCGATGGGGGTGGGCGAGAGGAGGAGGAGCAGGAGGGGGGTTCAGGTTGCTGCCAAGGCGATTTGATGCCGACCCGTGCGGCGGCAGGGGTAGACGTCGACCCGAACAACCTTTTGGCTGCGGCGATCAGTGTGAGCAATGGGTACGACATTATTGAAGGTACGGCAATGTTGCTTTGAAGGAGGAAACGTTTTGGAAGCCGTAAGAAAGCACGATCGGAGGGTCTCATCAGACGGCGGTTTTGATTCGTGCGTGGGTTACAGTGGGCCAACTGTTTGTCATGATTGCACGCTGTGGTGCTGTGCGAATGCAGCTGCGTGAGGAAGAACCCGCTGTCCCCTGCGGCCCCCCGGGTGCCCCCCCCCCACCCAATCTCCTGCTCCCGTCAGGGACCCGGCACCTGGTGTCCAGTCGCCCCCTGGCCGACCGCATCATCACGGCCGCGCTGCACAAGCTGTTGCGCCGGAAACTTCCAGAGGTGCATGCGATATGTGCGGCACATGGTCTGCTGGTAGGAGAGGGGGTGGGTGCTGGTGTGGGTGTGGGTGTGTGTAGGAGAAGGCGCTCCCTGGGGCGTGTGAGCAAGTTACACATTACAAGTTCCGCACAAGTGCGGGGGTGTCCGGGGGCCTATTCATCCACCTCTACTCCCCTCCCAACCAACCCCCCTTGCGCGTCCCTTCCAAACCCCCCAGGTCGACTTTGATGAAGTCCTGGCCTGCAACACCATTCGCGAGTTTGAGCGGTGTCTCATGCTGCCCATATGCGGCCACTCGGACCTGGACGAGTACTACCGCCACAACAACTGCCGGGAAGCGCTCAAGGTGGGTGTAGGTGTATTTGTATGTGTGTATGTACGTCAGGTCTGCGTTTGAGTTCTGGCGGGAAGGGCATCGGGGTATTTGTATTTTGATTATATGTGGGGATCTGGACGGTCATTTTACTCCCCTCTACACCGCCCTTCATCACCTTGTTCATCTGCACAACGCGTCCCTGCAACAACCCTTCCCCAATTCCCTCCCCCCCGGCTCCCCTCCGTACATAAACCCTCCGGCTCCCCTTCCCCGCCCCTTACTCTGACTTCTTACTCGGGTACCACCCGTTGCCCTCTCGAACTTAGAACGTCCGCACGAGGCTGCTGTGTCTTTCAGCGAGAGATGACCCCATCATCGACCCCGCCCTGATCCGCCATGCCGAGGCAGCCGCCGAAAGCAACCCTCGAGTGGTACTGGCGGTGACCCGGCGGGGTGGCCACTTGGGTTGGCTCCAGGGGTGGGCGGGTCGATCCTGGATGATGGACGTGATCGTACAGTTCGTGGAGGGCGTAGCGCAGCTGCATGCCACCGCTGCAGGCTGCGGCACCGGTGTCAGCAGCAGTACTAGTGGTGGTGGTGGTGGCAGGAGCGGCAGCGATGCTGATGGTGCCGATGGTGGGTGCATTGTTAACGGTAATGCGAATTGTTTAACAGAGGCTGATGATAGGACAACGGTCCCCATTGCCATGCATCAACCACTATCGGAACGTATTCCGCCATGTGCTGGTGCACCTGCTGCTGATTCCACTGCGGTAGCATCAGCGGCCGTGGTGGCTATTGCTGCCGCAGCTGAAGCAGGTGACGGCGGCCGCTTGTTTGACGCGAGCAGCGTCGCTGTATCCGACGGGCCGGGGCGACGGAATGTCACCGTTACGGCGACGGAAACACCGACGGCACTAACAGCAACACCGCGATCCCCAACAGCAGCGGCGGCGGCACCGCGCCCCCAGCTGTCCAGCGGTCATTTGTCCCCGGGTGGCAGTGCAGTGCAGTCACCGCCGCTGCCGCCGCTGGGGTTTGCGGAGGCGGCCTTCCCGGGCTCAGTGGGTGCTTGCAGTAGTCAACAGTTGTTTTCAACGGCGACTGCAGCGGCCACCATTCCCAACCCCTCCCGGGAGCCAGTTTCCACCGGCATTCCGACTACCGCTCCAGGTGATGTGGTGATTCATGTAGGTAGCGTCCCCGGTACGAGGACCTGAAACCGTGAATATCCAGCTGTGAATATGATACGTGCTTGTCCGGCATGCTGAGATACGCGCAAGACTCTTGGACCATGGCACGGCTGGTATTTGATACGAAGCCATCATATGTCCTGGAAGGAATGTAGGTATTGGGAGCATGTATGTATGTATGTATGTACGTGTGGCGGACTTGGATGCTTGGGGGGCCGTGCTGCAGACCGAGGGTTGGATGTTTTTTGTTGGTACGTGATATGGGACGTGATATGGCACAAAATACGTATGTAGCGGGAGGAGGTGCGATGCGGTGTGAGCGTGGCTTTGATGCATGTGTGCGCGCGTGGTTGCCCTGCCGAAGGGGATTGGGCCGAAATCTTTTGCTTTAATTATTGTTTCTTTTGTTTTGCGGTGTCCATTCAAAGCCGCCTTCCATGATTCACCCCGCGAAAGTGAACGCTGCAGGGGAACATAGGCATGTGCAGTGCAGCACGGTGAAGTATCCACTTATACCTGACTATGCACGGACCTTTTTTCCTAATTGTTTGCATCTCGCACAAGTCCTTTGCTGATAGGCTAGGCAGTACACAAAATATTCGTCCGTAACAAGCTAAACGTTGTATGTATTCACTTGGGTCGAGGATCCATGGGCTGCATCGGGGGAAGGGAGGGGGGGAGGAAGAGTTGGGCTTTAAGGGGTCTGAGCTGCTTACGCTTCGGTTTTAGGTGAGTGGCTCACATGCGTCGCATGAGCGGGTCCTCGACCTTGTCTCCCGAATTGAGAACTCTGGAGACATTTTGTGCATACGGAAAGTTATTATTACTTTTCATCTGCCCGAGCTTGCAGATCAGTGACTCCCATATTGTGTCTCTCAAATTGAAGTCTGCTATCCATGTTGTTCATATTAAAAATGCTGGTATCAGTAATCCAGCAGTAGCTGCTGCTGCGGCGGCGGCGGCGGCGGCTGTCGCGCGCACATGCATGGGCGTGGTTGAGGGTTGAGGGACGGAGCTGCTAGTGGCTGAATCGGGGAGCTGTGGGGAAGTGCATCCCAGGAGCTGCTTATCGTTGCGAATTTCGGAGGGCCGGGACTATCTGCCAGTGACATGTGTTATTGTTTAAACAACTGAAACCATCCGCAACCAACTGGCGGGTGCATGTCTTTGCTGATGTCTTTCACAGGGCTGTGATTATCTTCGGTCTGAAATCTTGTGTCTCATTGGCTTTGGCTGCGACAGCGGGAAGGTGGAGAAGTTGTATGTTGGAGAAGTTGTTGTTGTTGTTGTTGTTGTACTGGGCCGTATATAGGACAGGACAGGACGGATCCACCCATTTTTTGGAAAATTCTAGATAGGCGAGGCGGGCTGAGAACTCTTGCATGCATGAATTGGGGCTAATAAGGGAGCCGCAAAGAGAAGACTCGACATGTATATGACGATGCACACTGATGCACTTACCAGGACTTACTCATTAACGACAATCGTTGGAAAAGGAAGTCGTCAAGAACGAAGCAATCACGTGTATATGTGTAACCGCTACATAACCGCTCAATCTCGGCTGTAGTGTCCGCCACCGAGTAAATGCAACGCTACTACTTTATCGCAACCAGTTAAGGTGGTGATGCGATACACCAGCAGAGATGTAGCCATCCAGTGTACGACCCGTACTATTGTACGGCGTCGTAAAAAAGAAAATCTTGAGCATAGCGACCTGAACCTCTTTGAAGATAAACATCCAGCGATATGCAACTGCTCTTGCACGTTACAGTGGGCCTGTCCAGATGCTTTATCGCAGCAGACCAGCATGCGTACTGACACCTAACTAGATTTCGTGCCTGGGTTCATCGCCATTGAACGGGTAAAACCATCATGAGGCCCAATGTCTAAGGGACGACACGACCTGCCAGAAAGTAGTCTGCCAGGACGACGGTTACTGGCGTGTGCTGATATCAGTCGACATGTGCTTCGATATGTGTGTTGACGTCTGCCTGCTGAGATATGTAAGCATCGACGATTGCAAACGTGAGCTGATGACCACTGCTGAGCTGGGGCCTTCAATTGCACTGTGGAGCCCCGGAATTGGGCTGTACTGGGCCTGAATTGGCCTGTCCGGGTGCCGAAAAGCCAGCTTGATTGCAGAGTCTGTGGACGCCGGCACATGGTTAACTCGTGTTGCTGTGGCCACCCAGCGCCATGCACGGTTCTGTATCCACAGTGTTGTGTTCAGGCGCGTGTTTACATCTCTTCGTCTGTTGAATGATTGGATGAATGAATGAATGAATGAATGAACGAATGAATGAATGAATGAATGAACGAATGAAAGGGGTTTTACGTTGTGGCGTCTCGCCCTGCCACTGGTTCGGGTCGGTTCGGGTGGTGGTATCTTTTCGTCGAACACACACACACACACAATGAATGTATGAATGAAATGAGAACCGAGAACGGTAACCAGGCATGTAGGGTTCCTGCCACTTCCTGGCCCATGTACAGAATCATAACCAACACAGTAGTTACAGAGTTCCATAAAGTTTCGTAAGTTCCTTCAACTACCGCGATTCTGGATGCCTGCCTGAGAGTTCCGGGCCGACCCCGCAATTGGTCGAAATTGCTCGATAGAAGGGTTGAAATTGGCACGGGGTCTACACCTGGGACAAGTTAAATTGCCGGGACAGGCCCTTGAATTGGCCTGACAGGGACACGAATTGGCCTGGCAGGGACATTCCAACAGTCAGGATTAGCCTGACAGGGACACGAATTGGCCTGGCAGGGACATTCCGACAGTCAGAATTAGCCTGTCGGGGTGTCGAATTGGCCTGGCAGGGACATTCGGACAATCAGAATTGGCCTGTTCGGGGCGTCGAATTAGGGAAGCACAGGAATTGTGTGACCGGGGCAGTCCAAAGAATTGCTCTCCCCGACCTTGTGTCCTACCCTCTATCTCCGTTTATGACTTGTCGTTGCTGGTCTTATCCTTAAAGGGGGGCCTTCTGCTTGACGGGCTTTCTTCGACCGGAGAATCTCGCGTTACCTGTAACAGCAAATGGCATGTGCCTTTCGACAACATCTCATGCGTCTGCTGTAGCACACATGCACGAATATGCTGGTGCGACCATCCAAACAAACTGTGCCGTCACCGACAACACCACCAAGCATACGCAACCGAGCGAAATGTCATCATCCCGCAAATTAACCAAAAACCTAAACTTTACGCCTCCGAACGCACAACGTCCAAATTGGACGGACGGCACACACTTAATAGCCAGCCGAAAAGTGCGTTGCACATACTTTACCAGCGAATATGACACGATACCATTTATATCACACACTGTTAGCACGTCCAACGAGTCGTTGTATAGCAAATGCAAAAACCAGTCTATGCTCGTGCGACGCAAAGCAAACTATTAAAAAATAATACGGAAGTAGCAGGCGGGGGCCCATAACCATTTACCCTGCCTTTATCGCTTTATCGCTAGCATCATATCCTTCATAGTCTGATCCACCTGAAGCCCGATAGAAAGCAGTGTAATGTTTTTAAGTTAGTTAACGAGCGCGTGTGAGACCGTGTCGTAAACTCGGAGCTAGCGGAGCTTGAACTTGTGTGTACGACGTGTGAGGTTGTGGCGCGCTAGCATGACTATTTAAGCGGGCCAAATTATGAATATTGCAAGTGTAAGTTGAGATTGTAATCCGATTCTCTGTGCATACGCAAGTATTTCGGCGAGTAAGCTTCCCAATTGCGAGGAGCGGTCTGGTTCCCTTCCAATTGGTATCAGAGCCTAGGTGATCCTCCTCGCCTTGCTCGTCATCGTCATCGTCTTCGTCGTCATCGCCATCGTCTTTGTCTTCGTCGTCATCATCGACCTCGCTGACATCGTCATCGTCGAAATCGTCGTCTTCTTTCACAACCATGGCTTCCACCGCCACCAAACTCGAGCGAACCGTCTATGGAGCCCTTCCTACGCTTCCCGATGTATCGCCGCCCCGTTCACCCGCCCGCTCGCTAACCCGCTCCTCCGTGTCGTCCATTTCTGAAGACCTACATTCCCTCCGACGACAGCACGACGATTCCCGCAGCTATCGCAGACGCGAAGTCACCCATCCGCAACCGATCCCCAGACCAGCGTTAAACCGGCCACTAGGCCGTCGTCAGCAGATATGGTCAGCTACAGCCTGCCGACGTCGTCTGCTGTGTATACGAACAACAACGTAGCGTTTAACGTTCATGGTCTTGCTAGAATCGCATGTAAGCCTGCCCGTCGTGTCGGCCGCAAGCGTGCTCGTGCAGGTGCAGCCTCTACAACGAAGTGAGCATGCCAAGCGAATAATGATTACATCCTTTTACTCTCACATTTACATCCGCTACCCTGCTCACTGATACCACCCTTCACCCCGTTTTCACCTCGTTCCATCTGTCACCCTCTTCCACAAACCATCTGTCACCCTCTTCCACAAACCATCCGTCACCACCTTCCACATCTGTTAGAACCCTCATCCAACATTTCTCCACTCCCCATCTAGCACCCCCACCCCAACCACCGGACCACCCTCCATCACCTCGATCCCACGTAGCTTATCTTATCACCCACTTCTCACAACCTCCACCACTAGCATCGCAGTCGTTTCGCGTTCGTTTGGCCAATGGACACCGCACCCTCTGCGCCCCCACCCTCCTCTCTGGCCATCCAATCTCACCAGGAGTGCACCACCTTCACCCGCGACATTGACAGATACAACGTCATCCTTGGGAAACCCTGGCTTACTACCAACAACCCCCAAGTTGACTGGCGCACCAGCACCATCGCTATTGGCAACACTGTCATTCCCCATTCCCCGTACTGCCTGCATCCAGTATTCCACATCAGCTGCCTTCTCCCCTGGACTGACAACGATCCAGTGCTCTTTCCACCACCCCCACCTGCAGCCCCTACTGCACTAGAATCTCCCTATGACAGTGCAGATACTATCGTTATAGCTGTCTGCCTAGGGTACAACAAGCGCGCACGTCCGTCCGTCATGTTCCTTGTGCGGTGGTCCACAGGTAGCAGGCGCGACCCCTCATGGGAACCATACGACGACGTGCATAACCTACCAGCGCTTCGTGCCTTCCTGAGGAGCCCAAGCTGGACCGCGTTGAGGTTATCAGATCGCTATGCGTGGTTCAGAACCAAGTTCCTGGAGCACGCCCCAAGGATTGTACAGTTTTTAGCAGAATAGAGCTGTGGCTGGATGTGTGTGTGTCATCATGTGTGTTCGGTATGTCCGTGTTTATATCTTCATTCTGTTCCTGCTGGTTGAGTTCTACCAGTCGGTCTGATGTCGGTTTGGTATTGTGATTTGTCGTGTATGGGCATTTGGATTCCGTGTAGTACAGATTATCGTCGTTTTCGTAGCACCTTGTGTGCGTGTCTCCGGATACTTCAACCGGATAAGCTAGGAGTCGTGCGCCACTTTAGGCCGGTATCCAGTGCGTGGAAGGGTTTGCCTTAATTCGGTTCCCTTTTGCCTTCCCCCGTTAGCCTGGTACCGATCATTAAGGGAATCGGAGAGGCGCACGACTATGTCCGCTTACTGATTCTTAATACTTTCCCTTCGCACCGAGGCCAGTGTTTGTGTTTAAGAAGGGGAGTGTGTAATGTTTTGAAGTTAGTTAACGAGCGCGTGTGAGACCGTGTCGTAACTTCGGAGCTAGCGGAGCTTGAACTTGTACGACGTGTGAGGTTGTGGCGCGCTAGCATGCCTATTTAAGCAAGACCAAAATATGAACATTGTATGTCTAAGTTGAGATCGAAATGCGATTCTCTGTGCATACGCAAGTATTTCGGCGAGTAAAGTCAGCTAGGCTTCCCAATTGCTGGTTCTGGTTCCCTTCCAATCTCGATACCAATTGAAAGGGAACCAGACCGCTCCTCGCAATTGGGAAGCTTAGCTGACTTTACTCGCCGAAGTACTTGCGTATGCACAGAGAATCGGATTTCAATCTCAACTTAGACTTACAATGTTCATATTTTGGTCTGCTTAGGGGGTGTTTCCACTTGGATTAAAAGTCGCGGACTAAGGCTTAATCCGTCGCATATGGAAACATCGCGCGGATTAGACGGATTAGGCGGATTAAGGTTGGCGCGATTAGTTAGGGATTTCCGTCCGTATTCACGCGCTTCGCGGATTAATTATAGATTAATATGCTATGAAATGCGAGCTTTCTGCTTATACTAAAAGCTCAAACTTGGTGCGAAAAATTTGCTACCTGGTGGCCACCAGGTATCAAATTGACAATCTCGGATTAACACTTTTCACGACGCCTCATAAAAAGCCTGAGTGATAGGTTGGAAGGTTATCCTTTATAAAGGCTGTAGGTGTTCCTAGTTTTGTGGAAGCTTTGTGCTTCTTGTTCGGCATTATGCACCACACCGTGGGTGTCGTTCAAAGGTGCTACAAGGCCTTCATGTTGATACTCGATAGTCTTTTAAATGTC